TTCCAGATCCAGCTGTTCCTGTTTTTCCAGGTTCTTCAGTTCCTGAGTATTCTGTGAATCCAGTTCCCTTTGTTCCTGAGAAGCTTTGGGTTCCAGTTTTTCTGTTCCAGATTTGGTTCCAGTTTCTTTTACAGGAAGAAGACCTTGTCTCACTTAGAGGCAAGAATGTATACCAGAACCATTGGCCCATGGGACATGCGCACCGGGCTCACCCAGTTGATGAACTACTTTACCAAGCTGAGGTCCAGATCGTGAAGCCACGTGAGTCAAGTCATGACTCAAAGACACTTGTACCAGGCTGATCACTGATTTGGTACCGTTGCTGATGAAGACTGAACCAGAAGATCAAACCTCAAATTATGTATTGTGTTTATGCATTGTTTGATGTAACACTTGCTTATTTTTTGCATAATTGTGCACGTTTTATATTTACTTTATAGTTATGCATGTTTGATACCAAGTTTTTACCTATTTAGTCACAATGTGTATTGCATGCTTTAATGCTATATTTTTTGCTATTCAGTTAGTAAGTAGTGGAAATATAAATTTCCAAGCGGGGAGCATTCTGGACCGTATAGCTCTATGTAACCTCGTATAGCTCTATGTAACCCTAACTAGAGAGCACGTATCAGTATGTTAGTAATAGGTCAGTGGGAGGAGTTTCTAAAGGGCATTGGGAGACTTCCTGGCCACAAGCCAGTTTGGAATGTCTTTGTCTGAAAGAAGCATGGGCCATCAGATGCCAACCGATGAGCCTGTGCTGGTATAGAGATGGTATGGAAGAGCATCATCCTTTTACAAGAGATGTAATATCAGAGGCAATCGTCATGAAAGCAAGTAACCTATCTGATTAAATATATTTTTTGTTATGAAATAATTTCTTTGAGTTGTCTATCTGATTTGATTTATGAAGCATTTTAAATCAAGGTCAGAATAGTGGGAGTGCATGATTGGCGTAGCGTGCAAAATCTGGACTCTATGTAGACAAAGACAGCCACTGTGATGCATGAGGTCCTCACTACCCTCATGGCAGAAGTGGCAGCTATCATCAACGCTCGACCTTTGGTTCCAGTTTCCTCGGATCCTGAAAATCCAACTACTCTCACCCCGGCTGCCTTGCTAACCCAGAAGACAGGCGACTGGCCAGCACCATTAGGAAACTTTGTTCCCAAAGACATGTATAAACAGCAATGGAGACAAGTTCAACTGCTCACCTTCTGGAAGCGCTGGAAGCAAGAATACCTGTGTACTCTTCAGGATCACCGCAAATGGAAGACCAAAGAGCCTAACCTAGAAGAAGGAGACCTTGTCTTGCTGAGAGACAAGGACACACATCATAACTCTTGGCCAAGGGATTTGTGCATCAAGTTCTACCCAGCTCTATAATAATAGTAATAATAGTAAAGTTGGAAGGGACCTTGGAGGTCATCTAGTCCAACCCCCTGCTCAGGCAGGAACCCTATACCATTTCAGACAAATGGCTGTCCAGTCTCTTAAAAACTTTCAGTGTTGGAGCATTCACCGCTTCTGGAGGCAGGTAGTTCCACTGGTTAATTGTTCTCACTGTCAGAAAGTTTCTTCTTAGTTCTAAGTTGCTTCTCTCCTTGATCAGTTTCCATCTGATGCTTCTTCTTTTTTTATTGAAAAGTTTTATAAAAGTTACAGTATAAACCCCAAAACCAACCCACCCTAATCCCCCCTCTCCCTCCCCCACTTCCCAGAGATGAATACAGGGTTACAAATATAATAATCATAAACTAACTAACATTAACCAACTATATAAATAACCAAGTCCATAATGCGCTTTAACTCCCCTTTAACATAAATATAATAATAATAATTAAAACATAAACAAATTAGTATCCTAATTATTAAACAATAGAATATCCATATTGTTAAACAATACTAATACTAAAAGTAATAATAATATCATATAATTAAAACTAATAAAAATTT